ACAACCCCAACCTAAGACAGGCACAGCTCCCCCTGTTTCCCAGTCTTTAATGAAACAAGGAAGGGGAGCCGCCCACATCAAAATGGCTGCCATGACCTCTACTGGTTAAAATGGCCGGTGTGACCTTGACACAGACACCAGGAACGCAGACCTCCTGGTTCAGACAGAACTGACAGGTCCTCAATTAGGTCCGTTGTAAACCCCGCCTACATCCCTCTGCCTTGTGTATATAAGAAAGTGCTCTAGCCCTCAATAAATGAGCGAAGCCTTCATACCATCAAGAGCTGTGACACTGTGTGAGCCGTGATACTTCTTTCACTCCCGTGCTGAGACGCTGCGCCGGTTCCAGACCTCCGCCCCCTCGCTCGAGTTTCCCTGCCCGATACGTTCCCGCAGGCCGGGACAACACAAGTTTGATAAAATTGGCTTAAATGCTATGGCTAAGAAAGACAATGTCTTACCAAACCACACTCCCATCTTTTGATCCCTGGGCCAGGAACTTCAAGGGAGGACTGCCCCCCGTAGTTTCAGACCCGTGACCCCCAAGCCAGACACCCCTCTTTCAGCCAGGTACACTTTTTTTCTTTCTTTTTCTGTCCCCTTACCCACGTCTTTCATTTGTAAATTTCTCTCTTCTGATTAACACATAGGAACACCTTCAGTCCTACCACACCACACTCCCATATTTCGACCCCTGGCGAGTGCGACTTTTTCTTTATTCTATGCATTATTTTCTTCCCACTTATTCAGTCCTCACTTTCTTTATCTACACCATCCCTGGCTGTCTAGATAGGTCTACAATTACAATTCTGAAACATTCTAGTATTTTAAGACTCTCTGGAATCCTCCCTTTCACTGAACCACCTGCTGCGAAGAAGGAGATACATTTCTTTGTTCACCTGAACAGAATATTTTTTTTTGGATTACATTACTAAACACAATTGAAGAGAGATTTTGGCTGTCTCCATTCCACATCAGAAAGGAAACACACCTGTTTTTATTCGAAGAAATGTTCCCGTAAAAGGTTTTTCAAAGGGAACACATCTCCCAATGGTTAGAAGTAGAACCTCAGGCCTGAATAAAGCAGGAAATATGTCACCATCAAAGGAACACAGTAACTCCCTTCCTTTTCTTGAAAAAATAGAGGACGTTACAAAAATGTCTGAGATAGAGTTTAGAACATTCATGTTGAACAAATACTATGAGCTGGAACAGAAAAGAGACAATGAACTACAGGAGATGAGAAAGTCTTTCAATGATATGAAGGAAGAAATGCTAAGAAAGAAAGACGGAACTATTAGAGGTGAAGTATGTAATACAGGAAATCAAAAACTCTCTCAAAAGAATTAAAAGTCGAATAGACCATGCTGAAGGTCGAATCTCTTATGTAGAAGATAAAACTTCTGACCTAGAGAAAACCACCAAAAAGATAGAGAAAATAACAAAAAAAATGAAGATAACATACGAGAATTACTAGATTCCATGAGACGTCCTAACATCCTAATAATTGGTATCCCAGAAGATGAAGAAACTAATAAGAGCATGGAAAACTTATTCCATGAAATATTGGAAGAAAATTTCCCAAGCATAGAGAGGCACTCAGACATCCAGACCCTAGAAATACAAAGGATACCATATAGAATCAACCCAAGAAGATCCTCCCCAAGGCATATCACAGCCAGACTGGCTAAGACCACAGATAAAGAAAAGATACTAAAGCTGGCACGAGAGAAACGACAAGTGACTTACAAAGGTCACCCCATCAGGCTAACACCAAACTTCTCAATGGAAACAATGCAAGCAAGAAAAGAATGGGAAGATGTATTGAAAGTGTTAAGAGAGAAACAATTTCAACCAAAATTATTGTATCCTGCAAGATTATCCTTCATATGGGAAAAAAAGATTAAAATCTTCTCGGACAAACAAAACCTGAAAGAATTTGCCAGCACCAGGCCAACTCTCCATGAAATCCTGAAGA